GTCTATCATACCTTATATATACTTATATAAATTATAGTCTAAAATTTTGACCAATCACAGAGATCTTCACCTATGCTGATTTTTAATAATTAACGGAATCTTTATCGTTATGCGAACGTATATTAATTATTTCACTCTCCGATTAAATATAAAGTGGACCCTGGATCCGATTTTTGAAACCTTTTTGTCGAAAAAAAATGTGATGCAACTTTGCATTTTAATACATACCAAATTCATAAAATCAATATACTGATTTTTAAAAAAAGGAGATTGTTTTAATTGTCACAGCATATAAAAAAAAAACTTTTATAAAATATTTTTTTTTCAATGGTCACGATAAGTGGCAATTAAACAACTCCTTTTTTAAACCCGGCTAGTCCCTATATATATGTTTATATTTATCCAGCATCTTACTATCAAACGGCCACCAATAACTATATATATCGAATATTGATCTGATATATTTTTTATACTATTTCAAATACTGTAATATCGATTTCGTAGAGTACGTACAGTACATACATATACATTTACTTTGTCAACTCGTAAATAAATAGCTCTTGCATTTGCACATCTGAATTTTTTCTTCAAAAAAATTGGTCAATTTTCGATTACCTGACATCCTTTTATTTTTTTTTAACCAAATATCTACGCTATAGAAACGTAAAGTTTCAGTAAACAATGTTCGATACGGCAGCAACCGCCTTCTCTTATCATGGTTCGAATGCTCAGAATTCCAAAGGCTTTTTTAGCAACATAACCATTCCATCTGCTCTTACTACTCAATTTTTATCATCTTCTTTAGTTAGGTTTCCTCTGAGTGGTTATTTTAGTCAACGAGAAAACACATCACAAAATATTTCTTCCCCAGATACAACCAATTTGATCTCTCCTACTGTACCTCAACAACCAACTCATAATACTACTTCTCGACAAGAAACTAATCAAAATCAACATCCTTTGCAAAAAAATTCTCTTTCATTGACCATCTCCACCTCAGAAGTTGATAATGTGGGTAATCTTATTACTACCAGAGAAAATCCATCTATTCCCGTAATTACAACGAATAATAATAATCGTCGTAATTCCATGGCTAATGTACCCGCCTCTTCATCATCTGCCGTAACACATCCTCATAGAAGAAAGAAATCTTCTAATAAATTAAATAGAAAGAAAATTGACCAATCCATTGCTTTCTCTGCTTTTGCTGTCGAAGAAGATCATCAAGGAAACCCTGATTGCGCATTGGACCTTTACTTTCTCGGATTAGAACATATGTTCGATGCTCTTCCAAGTACTCGTTTTTTTCTCTCCATAATATAGATATATGTATTGATATCTATATATCATATATATATATACGTGTATGATATCCTATATATGGGCTAGGTGCTGCAAAAAGGGACGAAATTGACAAAAAAAAAGATCTTTGGAAAATCAATTTTTATGTTATAAATCTTATAATAAATCATAAGAAAATGCAAACTTTAAAGAGTTATACAGCAAAATTTTATTAAGATAACAGTATTTGTTTCTTAAGTAAAAAAATATTCTCAATTTGGCAGTACCTAGCTCATATGATGTATTTATATATGTGCGTCAAATTAATATCTGCGTCAAATATTAATAATTCCGCTAATACCTACCATTACCCTAACATTGGCTCCTAATTTTACCCTAACATTGGTTCTCACCCTAACCCTGGAAACTTCGTATTTAAAATTTTTTATCTGATACAAAAATTAACATGACGCAAGGTTAATATGGCGCACAACATATATAATCATAATACAGTATATACATGTACATGTATATACTGTATATGTATCATAATATTTGTCTATATTGTCATCCTTTCGTGCGTGATAATTTTAGCGTTTAACATTATATTTTTGAATTTTTTAGTTCATGCTGATCAATCACGAAAAGATGCCTTAGTAACTAAATTACGTGATTTTATGGATCGTGCAGGTTTAACTGATGAATTTATCGAATCTATTAATTCATCGAATAGACAAATTTCTTCCTCTACCTCGGAAAGTAATAAATCTGAAGGTCCTGGAATATCTCAACATATAATTCAAGCTGCAATTACAAGTGCTATAGCAATTAAACAATCTCCTATTCCAGATGCTATATCAGCTACTATTAATTATACAATGAATAAAATTAAAACTATTGATGAAACTTATGGATTACAAGATAAAGCCTGGGAAATTTCTCGAACTGGAATTAATTTGGCTTTAGAAATTGATCAACAATATAATGTTCATGAAAAAGTTGGAAATGCTTTATTCATAGGATTAGCTGCTGCTATGAAAGCTGGAATCGCTTATAAAGATTCTCCTTCATATCGTGATTTGAAAAAAATGCAAGTAAATTATGATATTATTGGTGATGATATTACTCTTGATATTACTGATGATTGTTGACATCATTTTAATTGGTGAAGATCGAGTTATAATATAAATTTATGATAGGATTTCCTTTACATTATAAACATTACATTCTCATGTTTTTTTTTTTTTTAAACTGATTTCCTTTCGCTTATATATGAAACAACTCGTTTTTCACCTTTTTCTATTAATACATTCGTTTTTGATACTTAATTCACTTTAATACTTCGTTTAATTCTCTTTGTATATAATCAAAGGCTTCTTTTTAAAAAAAAAATTTTCCAAATTTCTTTTCGTATTATCTTGTGTAAAAAAAAAAAAAAAAAAAAAAAAAAAAAAAAAAAATAGAAACTGAGATTCTCGTTACATAAAAAAATTTACGCGCTTTCAGTCATTATTATTTGTTACATACTGTGTGTTAGCAAAAAATTTTATATTTTTTGTGATTTCAAATAAAATGACCAGAAGCAAAGACACAAAGTTTTGTGAATAAATTGACCAATCAAAATGTAATATTACCATAAATTATTTATGTTTGCTGGAATTACAATAATTTTTCCTTATCGTTATCGTTAATGCAATATCCACTATTTATATGCAATAATTTATAAAAAAAAGAAAAAAAAACGATTTCTTTACTTTCAGTATATTTTGTTTTACTATAACATAATAAAAATGTTCGATGAAGAAGAATTTATTGAAGTTACTAATAATTTCGGTTAAGTTTTACAGATTATCAAAAATTAGCAGATAAGGAGGTTTTCTAAAGGAATATTTATGCTTGGTTATTGCTATGAACATGGAATTGGAGTTGAAAAGGATAAATATAGAGCATTCACATACTACCAAAAATCTACAGAATTAAATAATTATTATGGGATATATCAAGTTGTCAAATGGAATTGGGGTTGAAAAGGACGAACGCCAGACATTTATTTGGTATGAAAAAAATCAGCCAATGAGGGAAATTCTAACGGAATGTATCAAGTTATCCATTGTTATCTTAACGGAATTGGAGTTGGAAAGGATGAAAACCGGGTATTTATTTGGTATGAAAAATTAGCAGATAAAGGAGATTCTAACGGAATATATCAAGTTGGGGTTTGTTATGACTTAGGAATTGAAGTTAAAACGATAAGCAAAAAGCATTTGAGTACTACAAGAGATCTGTAGAAATGAACAATTCAGATAGAATGTATAAATTGGCGTTTGCTATGAATGAGGAATTTGGGTTAGAATTGATAAGCAAAAGGCATTTGAGCATCACAAAAGTTCTGCTAAGGCAAGCAATTTACTCTAAGACAGTCATTTTATCTGATGAAATGGGACATACTGATAGAATACTTCAAGTCGGCTATTGTTATTTTCAAGGAATTGGAGTTGAAAAGGATGATAACAGGCATTTACTTGGTATAAAAAATCAGCAAATATGAATAATTCTGATGGAGTATCTATGCTTGGTTACTGTTATGAACATGGAATCGATGTTGAAAAGGATGAATATAAGGCATAAAATCTGCAGAATTGAATAATTCTAATGGAATGTTTCAAGTTGGCTTTTGCTTTTATTATGGGATTGGTGTTGAAATGGACAATTGAGCATTACTTAAAATTAGCTGAAATGAAAAGTTCGAATGGAATTTTTAAAACTGCTATTTGTTACTATTATGGAATTGGAGTCGAAAAGGATAATGATAAATGGATTTCAAAGTAAATTAATTATAATTTCTGCTATAATATTTGTAATTTAAATGTTACTAATACAAGTTCAATTATCAGGGAGCAAGTAATAAAAACATTATTTAATTCTGCAATTCAAGTTTTAAATATTTTATTTTATTGGCTTGTGTAATGTAGCCCGTAAGTATAAAGATGATTTATTAACGTTAATTAACGGAATTAAAATCATGAATATAAATACTTATTAATAATATTTATCTCTAAATACTTATCATAAATACTTATATAAATACTTATTTAGAATTAATTACTTAATACCCTTCAAATAGTTTGTGAGTATAAAGATGAATTAAAATTATGAATATAAATACATATTTATAAATACATATCTAAATACTTATTTACAATTAATTACCTAATACCCTCAAATAGTTTGTGAGTATAAAGATGATTTATTAACGTTAATCAGTGAAATTAACATCATAAACATAAATACTTACTCATAAATACTTATCTTATTTACAATTAATTACCCAAAACCTTTTAATTTAGTCTGTGAGTATAAAGATGACATTAACGTTAATCAGTGGAATTAAAATCATAAATATTTATCTCTAAATACTTATTTACAATTAGTTACTTAATACTCTTCAAATAGTTCGTGAGTATAAAGATGATTTATTAACGTTAATCAGTGGGATTAAAAACATGAACATAAATACTTATTCATAAATACTTAACTCTAAATACTTATTTACAATTAATTATCTGATACCCTTCAAATCATTAAAAATTAACAACGGATGTGAAGAAAATAAATTTCAAGATTAAAAAATTATATGATAACAAAGAGACTCTAAAAGGCAAATGTGTATACTGTAGTAAATATAATACTCAACCAGTGTAGTGCCTGATATGTGATCCCGACATCACAGCACAAGGTTGGACAAGTAAAAACAAGAATATTGACGATTGTATTAGAGAATTTCAATTTAGAGCCTTTAAATACGAAGATACAATTGAATGGATTCCATTGATAAATTATCTAATATTAAAAAAATTGGCAAAGAAAGATTTGGCTCCATATATTCAGCAACCTGGTTGGATGGAATAATGAAGATTGTTGGTGATGAAAATAATTATGTAAGAATGCGTGAATCTTCTAGCATCGTTGCGCTCAAAACCCTGGCCAGTTCTAAAGAAAATAGTCTTGGTTTATTAAAAGAAGTATGTTAATTAATTATTTGTAAAATTTATCTAACATTTTATTGAACTAATTTAATATATAAAATCTATCAAGTTTAAAAATCATATGATATGTAAATTAAATTATAGTAAACTTGCAATATATGGAATAATTAGAAATCCAAAAACCAATGAATACTTGATGTTGTTTCAGTATGCTGATAATGGAAATCTTTATAAATATTTAAGAAAATTTTTTAGGAAATTTACTTGGCAGACTAAATTGCAATTACTTAAAGATATTTCATATGAATTATCTGATATTCACGATTATGTAAAATACATTCATGCAGACTTTCACAGTGGTAATATTTTACAAGGTCAAATCATTAACGGAAGCGTACAATCTTATATCGCTGATCTAGGATTGTCTAGAAAGAAAGATGAAAGTATTTCAGGCGAAATTTCTGGTGTAATGCCATATGTTGCTTCTGAAGTTCTATTAGGCAATGAATTTACACAAGCAGCTGATATTTATAGCTTTGGTGTTATTTAGAGTTGGAGGCACGGTGTCCCAAGGCATGCCCCTACCCTATTCTTTTAAATAGAAAAACCTCACATATGAAGTTTCGTTGATTTGATTGGTCAATTATCATAGTTGATTGACATAAGTTAGGTTAATCAATTATTCAATTATGATATGCCCTCGACAAAGGCATGCCCTCCTAGGCATGCCCAAAAAATTTTCCGTGCCCCCAACCCTAGTGTTATTATGGCTGAAATGTCAACCGGGCAAAGACCTTTTGATGGACGTGATTTTAATGTCAAACTTGCAGTTGAGATTAGCGTGGATTACGGCCAAAAGGAACTCCTGAATATTATATCTAAACATGGATTTCGATTCACAAAAATGTCAATGCTTATTACATTTATAAAATAATCACAGACTGGCTCTGGCTTAATAAAGAAAATAATTCAAAAAGCAATTCTTATATGGTTATTTCTTGAATTGTACAATATTTTCGAAGCTATAGTTTACGTGTATTAAAATTGTTAAAACGCACATTTGAATTAACCAGCCAATCATACGAATGTGTTTTTAATAATTAACGGATTTCATACCGGTACTATCTATAATTATAACTTACCTGACATCTAACATAATTTTACTTTAGCTAACGTATGTTACATGTAAGTTATACTTTTTTCCAGAACATTCGGATTACGCTCTGTATTTAGGTTCGTTCATAGTATACCTCGAACATTAATACTGGTCAAACCAAAAAGCTGGCCTGGTTTAATCTTCTCTATTTATAACTTTCATAAACTTACACAGGTAAACTTACGATGTAACATACATGGTTGTCAGGTAAGTTAAAAATATTTGTAAGTTTATAAACCATAGGTTTAGGTAACTTAGTAATTTACCTGGTAATTATTTACTTATCATTTACAACCCTGACATTAGTGCGAATCAATTTGTCTTACTAAGATTGCAAGACAAATAGATTTTGATTATTGGGTCATGAAATACAGTATCTTTATCTGAATATTTAC